CACCAAGGAGTTCCTTCTCCAGGGACTCCCTGTTTAACCATTGCTCTCCAAAAGGGCTCCCTGCCCTGGCCGTTTGATCTTGGATTTCCTCACTGCTATCTCACTAGAAACAGTAATACCTCATGTGAGACATCCAAGATTCTTCTGCTCCTGGAGCCTGCTTTGGCTTTATTTGAGACAACATCTCCCTCAGACTTGATTCCTCAGGAAATCACTACGCTGGTGTCAGAATACTCATTTGTGGCTGGGAATTAACTGCCTCATTTACAAAAAGCAGCAGCTTGGCTCACGCAGCACCAGCACTAGGATTCACATTCCTAGCTCCTGAATGCAGCACAAAACACAGATGAAGACTGGTGGCAACCGAACGGCTTCTTTTGGCTTTCAGAGCAGGTTCCACCAGCACTGTCACAGCTTTCATTCCCAGGCCCCTGAGCACCACAGGACCCACTCCCAAGGGCACTCTTTCCAGAATTCACCCACAGTCCCTCAGGTACATTAGGACACACATCTCAGGGTATTTGCATGGGGATGTGTAGGTTCAGACCCCAAGCACAGCGAGGTCTGCACCGCACAGTGATTTTATTCCCACAGTTACAAGCATAGTAGGACCCACATGGAGAACTGACACTCCACCCCACGGCTGCATCCTTGGACCCCGGCACTACAAATCACTGCTCCTGTCTCCTCAAAGCTCCTTTTGGCCACTATTATCAATGACCCCTAAATGACAGAAATTAATTCACACCAGTGATAATTAAGGCTGAGTCTAGGATGAATAAACCAGGGAAAGAAAGTAAAAGGGAAAGGGCAGAGAGGCTTCTTACAATTATATCAGGCTAAGGTCTCCCATAAGCTAAATAGTGAGGGAAAGAATCAGGTCAATTCATTTAGCTCCACAAGGCAGCTAAATGAATGAGACTGAGAAAGACACACAGAAAAAGAAGGTGGGGAGAGGTCCAGAAACAGAAAGAGCTAAAAGATTAAAAGCATGCAGATACCATGAGAGAAGAAAAGACACAGAAAACAAGGACAGAAGGCGAGAGAAGACAGCTAGGAATAGAGAGGTGATAAAACGTGGTCACTCACTCTGTCTGGAAGATTTTCTGGAGGGAGGTGGATTATCTTCAGTGCTGGTTGTTGGGGTGCTGCCCTTCACACTCCTTCTCTGAGACCCATACTCAGACCGTTGCTGTCAGCTATTCCAAGGGCTTCTTCAAAAAATATTTCGAGGACGAAAGGATTGTGGATGAAATCAGGATCTTGAGTATTAAAACAATCTGCTAGGGGATTGTCAGTCCCCTAAAACTGCTGGTTTTATCCCGGGATGGAGATCCTCTCTCCCTTTTGGCAGCTAACTACTAAAGGGGTGTTCCCCGGGAAACAGCTTTTTCACTGATGGTCAGATTATTTCAGAAATCAATTTCCCCAATCTGCCTACCTAGAAATCTCTTTTCTCTAGGTACACCTTGCCCGTAAGGGAAAAAAAAAATCTCTTTCTCTAAAACAATTCTTGCTATCTCGGTGGATATTATCAGGGAAATCTGCCTTTTCCTCTCCCTGTAACTAGGAGGTGTGTCCTCTCTCCTTGCACGGGGTATTTGAAGAAAACCCTCTTGGGATTAGGGGATGAGGGATCTTCCTTGGGATGAAGGAAGATGAAATCAGTATTGGATATTACCTTTATCTCCAGTTAACAGCAACTGGAAAAGGAAAGACTAGCTAAATCTCTCTCTGCTTTCTCTCCCTTGTTTTGCCCTATCACCTGCCGAGCAGATGTAAATAATTAAAATTACTAGGTAAGTATCTGGAGCTCCTACTTATTTCTGTCTTGGGAACGGCCTCTCCTGGGCATACAGGATTTCCTCTGTAAAGACACTCACTACTACCTGATCTGGGGAAGGGCTATCTGCTCTGCTTGAGCGAAGACTTTTCTCAGCAGCAGGAGGGAGTCGGCAGTAAAGGTTATTCTCGCAATCCTCAGGAACTGGGGTCTGAGGAACAAGTCTCCCTGTAACAAGTATCGAAGGAGCTCCAGAAAGCTCTGTTCCACAGCGAGAAAGAGCAGACCTGCTTCCAGATAGTTACTAGGGCTGGCTGCCGGGGGCCTGCGCACACCCTTGGCTGGTTAGTGGGGAAGGGGGCAAGTGTTAAGCTCCCTCACCAGCTGCGGGGAAGGGGCCTGGCAGGGGGGGGCGCCGGGGTGTCCCCACACCGGGCGCGGGGCTGCCTAACGGGGCTGCGGACGGGGCGGGGGGCGGCGGGCAGGCTCTCTCCCCCACCCCGGCAGGCTACGGGGGTGTCCCCCCACCCCGGCCGCTGTCCCTGGCTTCCCCCCAGGCCCCAGCTCCTCCTGCCCGGGCTCGGCTACCACGGGAGGCCGCGGCGGCTCACGGGCCTGCGCGGCGCCTCCGCCGCCTTCCGCCGGGCCGCGGCTTCGTCCCCGGGGTCTCCCCGGGCTCCGGTGCGGGGGACCCGGCCCGGGCGGCGCTGACTCTCTCCAGGCCCCACCGCTCCCGCGGCTGCTGCTCGGGGCTGCGGCTCCACTGCAGGCCGCGGCTCCTCCCCGGCCGCCGCTCCGCCTCCCCCGGCTCCCCCGGCCGCGGCCGCCCCCGCCTCCCCGGGTTAAGGAGGCGCCGGGCCGGGGGAGCAGGGGCTGCCCGCCCGCTCTGCTAGGCAGAGGGGAGGAGCTGCCCGCCCGCCGGGACCGTCCTCCGCTCGGGGCTCGATTCACCTCGGAGATGGCCGTGGGGCCCTCGCCCCCAAGCCGCGGCAGGGGCAGGGGCAGCGGCTGCGGGGGCACCCCTGCGACAGCCGGTCACAGCCCCGGCACGGGGGCTCACAAATGGCCACCCCGGGCCGGGGTCTGCCCACCCGCGCTGCTCACAGCGCCCGTGCAGCGGTGGTGCCCTGCTTCAGCCCTGAGTGCTCCGAGTCAACTCCCACCCCGAAACAATGCAGCTCTCCGTCTCTGGTAGTCTTCCCTCAAACATTGTGTGTGCCCACAAGCTATTGCAGAGACACCACCAGATCTTAAAAGGTGTTTCTACCACAATCCTGTTAAAAGTCTCTTTGCTATCTCTCCTGTGTGTTAACGCCAGCTAGAACCATATAGGAAACCCCATTAATTGACCTCATTAATGTGTATAAATATGTACAGTGGGGGTCCAAGAAGATGCAAGAAGGCTTTTCTCAGTGGTGCCAACCACTAGGATGAAGAGGCAGAAGCTGATGTACGGGAAGTTCCACCTAAAGATGGGGAAGAACTTCTTCACTGTGCAGGAAAACGGCACTGTACAGACTGTCCACTAGAAAAAACTGCCCAGAGAGGCTGTGGAGTCTCCCTCATAGGAGAGACTCAAGAACCATCAGAACACAATCACACACAATGGGCTCTGGAAAGACCCTGTTAAAACGAGGAGGATGAACCAGATGACCTACTGTGGTCACTTCCAACCGAACTCATTCTGTGACTGTGAATTACACTCAGTGCTGTCCCACTCTGACCCAGCAGGCCAAAAACTAGGAGTCTCCTGTTGATGTGTCTCATGGATGCAGACCAAGGCAGTAGTTCATTAGAACATTAAAGGGGACTGTGCAGTAAAGCAGCCAAATAAAGCCAACACTCTAAAATGTGTGTCTGAGGAGGAGCAGATGCTGCCTGGTGTCCCATACACCTGCAGACAGTGTCATAGACAGATCATTTTGATGTGTCAATCTGAAAAGCATGACTGAAACAGCCCCCCCTGGGGCCCCTATCCCAGTTATCTGAAAGTCACCCCGTATTTCATCATCTCATCTTTTTGTGTGTGGTTTCACATCTGAATCCTTCCAAATGGTAGCACTGCTGTAAGGCTTGAAGTAGAGGACAGCACATATACTGGGAGGAAACGGCACTTTCTGAGAAAATCATTTTTTTCACTTCTGGAAACTGTAATATGGAAATTGAGATAGTAGAAGGGGTGTTTTAAGACTTGCTGCTTTTGCAGAGCTGAATTTACCACTGCACCTGCAATGACTCCTTGCATTCCTTCAACAGGTCAAAACCTGAGCCATAGTTCCACGCCTTCATTTCAGGAAGTCAAGTCATCATCCTCCATCCTCTCAGGATTCTCTGTGTCCTCCTTCTCCCACACTATCCCCTTCTTCTGCACCTATGCCAGCAGCTCTAGTCACAACTTCCCTCCCTATGCTACTACCTGTCCTGTCAAGAAGGGTTTCCTGCCTTTTTCCCCATACTATTTGCATTATCTCACTACAGATCCCAATTATGGTGTTCTTGATCATTACCAAGAGCCAACAACCATCTCTTTCCCACAGCAGAGCTCTGTCCTATTGTCATTTCTCCCAGGCTCACTCAAGTCCTGCGAGAACAGCCTAGCTTCAGCTCCCCTCTTCTGCCTCTGACTTCTCTTTGGGCTAGGTGGTCTTTGGGTGTGTCTGCTACTCCTAGTCCATGTTCCCCAGTTCCCCTCTAGCTAGGATTTGTGTCCACACAGTGCTCAGACTACTCTTTACTGAGAGACAAGGTAGGAGCATCCTTGTGCTGCAAGGCAGACGGGTGGTATCTGCAAGTTGTTTGATCTGTAGCCAAATGCAGAGGTGTTAAAAAGCTGTGGTTGGACTCGACGTGTGCCAGGCATCCGATGTGTGTTCCCTACTTATTTTTCCTTTTGGTTTTCAGGATCCTCTCCTCGAATGAATATGTGAAGTACTGCCTGCTTTTTATAGACAATTAAAAGGTAGGATGTAACTAACTTGTTCCACTGCTTGTAAGAATGTAAATGTAAAAATTACCATCCAACACAAAAAGTGCCCTAGGGAGGCAGGGCAAAGGATCAGTGTGGCAGAAATGCACAGAGATAAATGTATTGTCATCCATCATCATATTCAGCATTCAGAGAACAAAGACACATCCCAAAGCCTTTCACAGCTAAATAGAAGGCAGAGGAGAGCAGATGGAGACACAGGGAAAAAGAGTAAACCAGTCACCACGTAGCTTATTTTTACATTACATTCACTGTATTTTATCCTTCTCCCAATTTTTTCAATATGCCGCAGGCTTTGCGCATGACTGAATTGTTAATATTTGTCTAAGGAGATCTATAAATTTTGACAGATGGATAGCGGGCAGTTGGGGCTTCTCGCATCCAGGAAGGTGTAGGAGGTGGCTTTGGTTTTTGGCAGTTGGGACACTGAAAGTCTCAGTATTTGGGAAGGAATTCTCTTCCACATCCTGGCTGAAGGACTGTTCCTTCCATTTGCAACTAGTAACAAACAGGCATCTCAGCCATCCTATGTAACGTGCAGGTATCCTAACATGTTTTTCTCCCTGGGCAGGGTTAGGTGTTTGGCTTGGGTTTTTTTAAAAAGCTCTTAGCTGGGAAAACCTTTGTTTATGTACTTGCACACAAGTACAAGAATGACTGAAGGAATGGGGTTGTTTAGCCTGTAGAAGAGGCTCAGAGGTAGCCCTCTCACTCTACAACCACCTGAAAGGAGGGGGCAGCCAGGTGGGGGTCAGCCTCTTCTCCCAGCTATCAAGAGACAGGACAGGAGGACATAGCCACAGGCTGTGTCAGGGGTGGTTTAGGTTGGACTTCACGAGGAATTTCTTCACAGAAAATGGTGATTAGACATTGGAATGGGCTGGCAGGGAGGTGGTGCAACCTATGTCCTTGGAAGTCTTTAAGTAAAGACTGGATGTGGCACTCAGTGCCATGGTCTAGTTGCTATGGTGGTGTTCAGTCAAAGGTTCGATTTGATTTTCTCAGAGGTCTTTTGCCACCTCACAGATTCTGTGATTCTGTACATACATATGTAAAAATTTATTGGTTACTCACCTTGTGTATCTCGAATAATTTCTTGGTGTGCTCTATGTAAATTACATACCTATGCGTGTAATGATGCATCTTGCAAAATCAAGAAGCCAAAACTGGTGGTTTAAAACTCAGCCCTTCAATTACACGTTTAGGATTCTAACTACAAAAAAGCCAGTGTACCTGATATCTCCACCAGAGCCAACCGAAACCTGCCGGGAGCTCCACAGTTTCAAAGGTTGGACAGTCGTCGAGGGACGTGTTTGCTGGCCCAGCCTCGGACACACAGGAAGGCACAGACTGTCTCCAGCTGCCGCTCCCCGTCTCTGCAGCGGGAATCCTCATGTGACAGGCCCTTATCTCCCGGCACAAACCTCCACCCGCTTCCCTCACCCTGACGGCCGAGCGGGCATTCCCCAGCAGCCGCCCTCACACCAGGCAGCTCCCGCCTCCGCGCCCTCCTCCGCCCCACGGGGACACCCCCGGCTATCCCAGTCCCGCTCCCACTGGGCTCTCGGGCCACCTTAAGAGCGCGCAGAGCCCCCGCACGCAGCGGCCGGGCGGCTCCTCCCCGCCCCGTGTCGCATCCAGCCAGGGAACGTGTGGCGGGCGGCGGGGCTGCCCGGGGCCGGGGGCGGCCGGAGCCCGTCACGGAGGCGGGGGGAGGGCGGAGCGGCTGCCCCCGGCACAGGAGGGCAGCCAGCGGCGCCCGCGGCAACTCCGCGGGGCGGGGGCGTCCGGCCGGGCCCTCCCCGGCTGCCCCCGGCCCGCGAGCGCCGCATTGCGCGGCCCCCATTGGCGGGGAGCGGGGGCGGGGCTAGCGATCTCATTGGGTTTCGCACCCATCCATCAGGGAGGAGATGGCGACGGAGGCGAACTTGCCCTCGCGATTGGCCGTGATACCCCAGGGGAGGCGGGGCCAGGTGGGCAAGGGAGGAGCCGCTGCCATTGGTCAGCGCAGCGCGCGTCAGTCACATGAGTCACAAAGGGCCGCGCGGGCGGCCGCAGCCAGGGGCTGCTGGTCGCGGCGTGCGCGCGGGGCCAACTTCCTGCGCGGGGCTCGGCGGCTTCCGGCTGACCCGCCCCGCGGCCTGGGGCGGTGGCGCCCCCTCCCGCCTCCGCTCGGCGCATGCGCTTTGCGTGACGTCAGGGCGCGGGCGGGGCCGTCCCCCGTGGCCGGGGCACGTGGGGAGCGGCGCGCGCAAAATGGCAGCGGGGGGTCCATGTTGTGCGTGAGGGCCGCGCCCGTGTGTGCCCCTCCGGCTGCGGGTGGAGACACGGAGTCAGTCGTGTTGGGAAAGACCTCCGAGTCCATCCTGTGACTGAACACCACCATGGCAATAGACCATGGCACTGTGTGCCACATCCAGTGTTCTTTAAACACATCCAGGGATGGTGGCTCCACCACCTCCCTATGCAGGCTATTCCAATGTCTAAACACCCTTTTGGTGAAGTAATTCCTCCAACCTAAAGTCTCCCAACCTAAACTTCCCCTGGCACATCTTGAGACTATGTCCTTTCATCCTGGAAGCCTTTAAAGTTAATTCATTTACTCGCACAGCGGGTAGGACGGAATTCTCAGGGTGAAGTATGCCTGCTTCCCACGCACAGCACTGGGGCTCCCAGCAGTGTGGGGTGTGTTTTGTCTTTGAGCCATTCCCTGCCTCAGAAATGCCCGCCAAACCCAAACCAGTTGTGCTCCAGAGGTTTAGTCAATGGGAAAGGCAGTGGAATATTTTGGGTGGACAGAAGCCCCTCTGTCTCTTGCAACCCACAAAAATGGTTTCCACACGGACTGTCCTGTCTCTTCCAGGCCCACCTCTGCTTTCAAATAGGACCTGAAACAGTCAGGCTCTCACTGAACTCCTCAGAAGTCCAAGACAGGGCCACTGGCTGTACTTCCAATACAGGGAGGCTTTGTTGAAACGAGGAAAGTCCCTGTGTTCATTCCTTAGGGACTGAAGGTTGGGTCTTTGTTTCCTCCAAGGCTCGGTGCAGGCTCCATGCCATCCCACGTAGCTGTGACAGTCACTTTTCAGGCTGCAGCTGCACTTTAATGTGCTTTGAAGCAGGTAGTTCTGTGAATTGCAGTACTAACAAAGCCTGGTTTTGGTCTCGTAATTGGATCCTTTGATGAGTGACAAGGCACAAGTTCTAACTGAAGCTTTTCCCCTAATTGGTGCATTTGTAATGTCTCTTTTCATTCTGGTTCTCTTAAGCCTTTTAAATCTTTAGTTTGTACTGTGACCTTTCCCTCTGCAAGGACAAAAATAAAGTCTGTCTCCTGTATTTGTTCTCTTATTTTCATGAACCCTACATGAGTTCTTGGTTTTTTAGATCTCTGCAAGGGACCTTCATTCTTTTCATGGCTTTTTAGCAGAGGTTTAAACCTGGCTCACCCGTTTTTCCCTTGATCTTTCAGACAGGCACAGTGGCTGTAGGTAGGCACGGGAACAGACTAGGGCTCGTTCCCAAGGACTGTGAGCAGAGGGAGACTGCTCTTTCTGTGTCCCAAGGTCAAATGCTCTGTTTGAAAGAGAGATGTGCCAGCATATCCTAGGCAAATGCTTTTGTTATTCAGCTTTGGATAATTGGAGGTAATTGTTTTTTAATGACTTTTTTTCCCCTTGAAGCTTATCCTCTTTGTGTGAATGATTGATTAAATATTCACAGAGACAAAAATAGGTGGATTACAAACCCCACTCATTAGGATATTCAGGCAGTAGTACATGGGAGATACCAGGGAGATACAAAATGACAAATACTTGCTGCACAATGCTTAACTGTGTGTTGAGATTGTGGTATCTCTGACAGAAAGCAGTGCAGTGAGGCAGGAGTCAGGATACAGATCTAACACAAACTGGGGAAAATATTTTACCCATGATGTTTTTGGTCTGCCCCAGCCGTTCCTATGGGTGTCCTGTGGCTGAGTTGTGTTGTGAATGTGTGGGATCTCAGCACCTCAGGACTGAGGTGCCGAGTCACCAAGACCACCCTTGGGGGGCTCGGGAGTCCTGGAATGTTGCCAGAAGTGTCTGGTGGCTGGACTTTGATCCTACACAGGAGACGACACCTGTATGAGGATAGGAGGATTTCACCGGGGTGAATGGTGAAGGGATTAGTTAATTAGAGGGTGAGACACAGGGTTTAGGATTTCTGTACAGGGGAGTTTAGAGAAGTAAGATGGAGGAATTGGGGCGTGTCCTGTCCTTCTTCTTCTTCTTCTTCTCCTCCATCTTCTGTGGTGATGGTGGCACTTTGGGATTGGTCATTACTAAAAGTGTACCGGACAATAAGGGGGAAAGGTATTGGGGAAAAATGATAAATATTGTACACGTAACTTTGGGTATAAAGATAGGTGACTGTCCGGAGGGCGAGACAGTGTGCTCATGGCTGGCTGCTGAGCAGACCTCTGTCGGGCCGAAAGAAAATCTTTTAGATAAACAATTAATAAACATAGAGACCGAAAGAAGAACTGAAGCCTCTTCTCGTCCTTTGATACGCGGGCTGCCCCAAGGCCACTCCGGGCCTTTCCAGGCCCTCCAAACAGCCGAAAACCGGACATGAATGGGCTCTGGGAACGATGTCATCTGGAAAGGTTGGTGAAGGAAGATCATGTGCAGGAGTCGTGTTCTGGAGCTTGTGTTCAAACTGAAAAACCTGGAGGGTGAAGTTGAAGCTGTCAGAGTCTGCGGGAGCCTGCACGATTCTAAGCAGGATTGAAATGCAAACTCCTGTATGATCTCAGTGCTGCTAAGGACAGAGGGTAGGGGAGCCCTGGGCAGGGGACTCCCGGCCATCGTGGTCTGGCGGACCAGGGTGTCGAGGTCTTCACAAGTGTTTCTGGTGGCTTAGGGTGTGCTGTCCTCTGTTCTAGAAGACTTGGGTGAGACAAAGGTGCTTTTCTAGGAAGAGAAAGGAGTGTTAGTGAATGAATTTTTTTGCATAAATTTCCAAGTCGTGCTGTTTTTCCCTTCAGTGTAGAACATCTAAAGAGTTTTCCATAAAAAAAAATTATTTCCATTACAATTGCACTTTCCTGACTCAAAAGATTTGCATAATGTTACTATGATAAGGACTGTGAAGTACTCACAAGGGAAACATTTCAGTCATTGGACAGACAGACAAATTGATATCGAAGGTCAGATTTTAGGGCCCCAAAGCTCACAGAGGTACTGTCACATGTATTACCACAGGCTCAATGAATACAAAGTACAGCAAAGTTATAAAGTGATTCTCCTCTGAAATGACTGCATGAAAGGTACCTTCTTACACAGCAGTTAAGATGCTTAGGTTCATTTTGGCTAATTTCACTTGATAAGCTGAAGTAATTTTTACTGGTTTTCTTGGTTGTTAGCCCTGCAGAATAAAAATAGCTCTGAAAGAGGAAGCTGGATACTGCTCCTCCCTTTGGAATTGACAAAATTGCATTCTAAGTTTTGTGTGCTTATAGTGCACAAACCAAAAGATCAATTGGTAGCTGTCCTTAAAGGAGAACCCTGTTTTGTGTATCAAAATTTGGGTCTTCCTATTGGGCATTGGCGCCCGGAAAGGAAAGCTGTGGACACATTCCCAGGACTGGCAGCTAGGAAAGCTCTGTCTGCCTGTAAGTGTGGGCAGCAGTTGCTTGAAACAGTAAATGAAGAACCACCTGAAGTCACTTTTCAAAGAGCCAGTACACTACACAGGCGCTGAAGCACGGTGGGTCTGATTAACAGCCTATCTGCCACTTCAAAAGCAGATGGTGAGAAAATGCAGACAGGATATAAAGTTTGATCGCAATAACTCAAACTAATGAGCAGTTCATGCCGTTGCGTCCTGACTGAGAAGCAGACATCAGAGTTAATAGTAAAAGATTAAAATCCTTAGAAGTGCTGGCGGATACCTATGATATCAGCAATAATAATAGTCTTGGATGACAAGCATTCCTGTGGATCAAAAGGAAAATAGGATACCTCTGTGACTTAACTTATAATTTCAGAGTCAAGCAAGAGGTTCTTCAAAATTTACAGTAGGGAGAAGCTTGAATTTGCAGCAGTTAATAATTAGGAGGGAAGACAGAACAGGGAGTTGCAGAGCAAACAACAAAATGAATGAAAAGGATAAATTAGACTCTTCCTGGGTGTGAGAACTGGGAAGCCTGTGAAACAATTAGTGGATGTGTTGGATCAAGGGTGGTTAAAGAGAACAATTGAGAAAAACCTTGTTTTTCAAAGTTTTTCATACACTTTCAATTTTGAGACTATTGTATTCCTGTCCTGCATGCACTCTGCTTTTTACAACGAAGCAGCTTTCAAAGACTGAGAGTTGATAATGAGAAATGTTGGACCAAACTGATAATTTTAAAACATAATATGGTATACCTCCAAGAATTCCAAGGAATTTCAAGTGAGTAGTAGTGGGGCTTCTTGGCTTCTTGGGTTAGGAAAATATATGGTCTGTCACGGAAAGCTGCCATGGTACCAGAGCTTCAGGGAACACAGACTTTACCCACAATTTTGAAAAAGGTGCTAGGGATGAATCAGGGAAGTAGAATAGTGAAGCTTTTATCTGTTTCTTGAAAGCTGGTCAGAATGGTAATTAAAAATATGTCAAAACACCTG